GGGCTGCAAATACATTGGGCGCACGCAAAGGCATTTGGCAACGCGGTCAGCTAAACACACGCCGAAGTGGTTACTCAGGGCGGAACATAAAGTATCCAAGAGTTCAATCACAAAGCACTTAGTGGACACTGGCCATACAGTCGACCAAACAACTGCATTTAAGGTCGTACTTCGAGCGACGACCGGGTGTCTCCTACGTTTTGCGGAGGCCGCTGCAATACAGAGAAGAAAGCCAGAACTCTGTAAGCAGCTGGACCATACGATCAACCTCGCATTGCCGTGGTAACGATCGATAAACTCATTCCCGCTTACGCCTCCTCGTTATCCTTAGGACTGACTGACACCCTGTCCCCTGCTCCTGCCCCAACCCCCCCCCCCTTTTTAACCACGTCCTACAGGCTATCCTGAACATGCACTAACACGAACTGACATGCTGTGACAATTATCTCCATCCTCCTCTACCCCTTACCATACGCCCACATCTATGACTAATAGTTTCTACTCCGTTTACCTATCAAGTTTCACCCTTCGAGGCTGAAGCTTAATTGGACAGTTAATTCTCTTATTAATAGGCACCGACCGTCTGCGGCTAAATGAGTGGTCACGAAATTTATGACGTTATTAAATTCTGCTTCGCCTTGTTCAAGTTTCTTCCGGGAAAACAATGTTTCGAAGTCATTTACAGTTCGGCACGTAGTATGACAACTGTAGAGCACAACGTGCATATTTTCGATAGTAGTGGGTCGACATAAGTACTTTGAAAGTCGTTCTTGCTATGCTCTAGGATTGTCCGCTAACATGATACACGTTTCTCGTCTAATGAGCTATGGCAGCTGGAGGGAGAGAGAGAAGGAGGCAAGGCCCATCGCTTTAATAGTCTATGCTGCTATAACTGTAGATGACAGGTTGGGATAGGACTATAGGAATCTTTTTAGTAAGCTGCTGGCATACTGCATTTTATGCAGGTTTTCATTTCACAAGAAAAGTCTTACATGACTATTTCCGTTTCTTTCAGTCGCTCCTATGATCAAAGCTTATATAAGCATAACCGAAATAATTGGAGCCGTTGGACTGATTTTAATTCTGATCTTTCTGACCAGGTATGCACACATGTATTTTGTGTCGTCTAACCATTTTTATGTATGAAAAGGAAACTAACCATACGTTACACATATTTGTAGAATGTCTATTTTCTAAGCCATTTTTGTTCTAAACTTAAAACCCGGAAACAAAAACGTCATCCTCGGGCAAAAAGGGGCTTTTATCGAGAAGAATTTATTCAAAGTCAGGTTTTTAAAGTGGTACAATGGGAAATCCCTTATTAAATAGTCTGTGCTGTCAGTTCAACTCATCGTGTAGGATCTGTGAAGCAATTTTAACTCTGGCAGATGCAGAAGTTTGTTAAGATAGTTTTTGTAATGGTGCCCAATAAAATCTGTCACACAAACAGTAACTTGGCGAGACTGGAAC